GGAGTAAGAAGAAGGTAGGAAGGAGTTGTATAGGGTGCAGGGCGCGGAAAGCGAGCCTGCATGGGAGGGAGGGTAGAGGAGGTAGGGGGTGCGCCCGAAGGCGCGGCCACCTATGAGGGTGGGGGTGGCTGAAGGCATAAGAGGGCGAGGTCGGCCCGGAGCTGGGCAATCTCGTCCGCGAGACCTCGAACGTAGGTCGATCGAGGGGTGGCAGGAGGAAGAGTGGAGGGGGTGGACGCACAAGCGGCGCGGGGCATCCCAGAGGGGGTAGAGCCAGGTGGCGCTGCGGTCGTGCGAAGGGGAGGGAGAAGCGCGGCACCCAGAAAAGTTGAGACCATGGCAGCGGGCTGTTGTACCGTGGCCGTAGGGAACGGGATCTGGACGGGTGCGCCCGTAGACTGAGGGGGGGCCTGGCTCGTGGCGGCCGTCGTGCTAGGGGCGTGGACAGTCACCAAGATGGTCGGGTCAGGGGCAACGGAGGAGGAGGCTCCGCCGTGGCCACCCTGTCGGAGGACGGGGGACCCGGACTGGGAGCCAGGAGATGACGGACACGCAGCGTCCTGGAGTTGCTGCATGCCGGCGGCAAGGGTCGCCACCTGCGCTTGTAAGGGCGCGAGGGTCGCGAGTTGCGCCTGGATGGGCGCAAGGGTCGCAAGTTGCGCCTTGATGGGTGCAAGGAGGGAGGTGAGGAGGGTGTGTAGATTCCCCTGGGGCTTATGGCCCTGGTCCGCCGGCACGGGTGTGGAGCCCGATGCGGTGGTCATCGCCGTGTCGGCGGCGTGTGACACACCGTCGGCCATGGGGAGATGACGGACCGGACTGGAGGGGGCCAAAAGAGGTCCGCGTGAGAGGAGGGCGTAGGGGGAAGTCCGCGGTAGAAAGCGGCGAACGGCGCTAGCAAGGCTAGCATGGGCACCGTCAAAGGGGGAGGGGTGGTTCGGGTCCAGGGTGCCCGAAGAGGACGGGGAAGTAGGGGGGTTTTGAGGAACCCTAAACCCTACAAAAACCCTAAGAAAACCCTAACCGAGTTTAAGTGGCTAGGGTAGGGTACCGGTGACCTAATCAAGAAAGTAAAATAGCAAGCATGGGG